ATATAACAACAAACAACAATTCGTTCTAACACTTCTCTACATCTCTCCAAGAACTGTTTCTGGGAAGGGACTTTCCAAGATGCTAAGAAGACAGAAGACGCTATAATAGTCTCCAGAAATGCCAGTTTCGGCTCAGCATCTGCCAACAGGTCCAGACAATCTGCCAAACTCTTTATAAATCTCAGCTTCACCATCTACCAACTGTGTAACCCTGGGTAAGTACTCTGTTATTCTTACCTCATTGTCATGTAAGCAGAGAGTACACCTTACATGAATGGAGCTGTGTAGGATTCACTGAGATAACACACACAAAACACACACACTGTTCTTCTCCACAAAACACTGCAGAACAGTGCAAAGCCCACAGAGAGGACTGAGTACCAGATCCCACAGTTGCTGTTGTTGTTGATTGCCATCAAGTCGACCACAACTCATAGTGACCCTATGAACAAAAGACCTGAAGCCTTTCAATAACTATTGTTTCTCAAAATTCATAGAGTTTCCAGAGGCATGTTGCTTAGGAAGTGGAAGCCACTCCTGCTTTTAAACCTGTCTTAAACTGGGAGCTCCACCAAACACTCACAGCAAAATAGTTCTGGCCTGTGAGAGCGGAAATAGTGAATATAGTATGGCTACAACCACTGATTCTTCAGGCCACAGGTCTGAAGAAAGCTTGGCTTCTACCAAGATTTGGAAATTGTATTTCTTCAGAAAAAAAATGAATACTAAATCCAGTTAAATTGTTCAAGGGTTAAGATAAGTACCACTGAATACCAATTGCTTTGTTAAAATTACTTCATTTCAGATTATGACTCCCTGAGAGTCATCTGAAATGAAAATTTTATTTGGTTAATTTAACTAGGAAATCTAGTTAACCAAATAAAAAAAAAGTTTAAAAAAGCAAAAATAAATAGATAAAAAAAATTCAAACCCATTGTCGTGAGGCCAATTCCAACTAACATTGCTCCTGCATAGCAGAGCAGAACTGCACCAGAGTGTTTCAAAGGCTGTTATCTTTATCGCTAGTGGAGCAGACAGTGGGTTCCAACCATATGTAACCATTCCTCCTTTAGCTAACTTGTTGGTGTTATGTACCATCAAGTCAGAACTCGGTCTTAGCTGATCCTCCAGCAAGTTTTCAAAGGCTGAAAATTACAAAAAGGAGATTGTGGATGTGAACTCTGAGTCTTTGCATTGAAAGCACAAGTCTTTGCCACCAAGCTACCAAAGCTAAGAGGTAACATTTATAACATTTGCTAAATATTATATAGTACATTTTTTTAGAACTAGAAAGGGGAAGTTAGAAGTCAGAATTTTTTTTTAATTTTAAATAACTTATACATGTTTTCAGCATATAAATTAATGTGTATGCAAGGGAATCTGGAAGGAAAACTAGAGAAGTTTAAGAATTTCTGAAGTTATGATAAAGCAATTGGGACTTATAAAATTTTGCACTACATATGTCCTACATAGCTCTTGTGGCCAAGTGGTAAGATGCTGTGCTGCCAACCTAGAGGCATGCTGTTCAAATCCACTAACTGCTCTGTGAGAGAAAGCAGCACAATCTCCTCCCATGCAATTATACTGCCTCTGACAACTCACTGGAAGGTCTACTATGGGTTTAACTCAATGGTGTCCTAGTGATATAAACTATTAACTACTTGACTAGAAGGTTTGAAGTTCAAAACCATCCTACAGGACAAAGATGTGATGATTCGTCCTGTAAGGATTTCCCATGTCCCATGGGGTTACCTTGGGTCACAAACACTCTGATGTAACAGTTACAGTATCATTACATTGACTTCTTACTAATGGAAATTCACTTTTGCTATAAAATAAAAACTTCAAAGTCTCAGCAGTGGAGTCCATTCTGACACCTATTCACCCTACAGCATGGCGCAGATCAATTCCCTAGGATTCCAAAGGCTATGATATTTCTAGGAGCAGACTCTCATATCTTTATTTTGAAAAGCAACTGATGTGTTTCTACCTGCTGATATTTCAATGAGCATTCCAGCACTTAAACACTGCACCACCAAGGCTCCTTTTTATCAAAAACCTGGGGCTCCTTGCCGTCGAGTTGGCATTGCTTTATAACTGACCCTCCAGCAGGTTTTCTGAGGTTGTAAATCTCATAGGAGGAGCTTGTACACCTTTTCCTCTCTGAGTCACAAATGGATCTGAACATGCAGAGAAGTGTGGCCCTTGTGTTAGCAGCGCAACTCCCTACAGGCTAGCCTACCAGTGCTCGCTACATAGAAAAAGCAAATCAATGAATCCACAGTCTTAAATGAGTCCCTAGCAAACAGTATTGATCCTATCTGGGAGTAAATTGGGTCTTATAAATTACAAAATGTTATGCTGACTGATCATTTCCAACATGCATTGTTTTTCTTTTCAAAGTGGTATCCAAATATGACATGCTTAGTACAAAACAAACCAAACACTGAATTTAAAAAAAGCATTTGGGGCTGAAAGAGATAATAGACGTAATATTATCTAGGTAGGTAAGTGGGCATTCCTGCTTATAGCCCAGGCTTTCTTGAGTTCAAGCTGAGGAAAGGCTCTATAGTGTGCAGACCATGTATTATGGTGATAATATTCCAGTGATAATATTCCAGTAACCACATTTACTAAGTGCATGTTCTGGACCAAGAAATCTCCTAGGCTTTCTCCTATTCACCTCCTATTGATCTATTTCCACTATAAGTCTATGAGGTATAAGTACAGTAATTCCTGTTTTACAAATGTTCTTGCCGTTGTTATCACCTCTACTACCTAAACTCTGTCCTATTCTGGGCCATCCACTCCATGTCTGATATACTTGAGCCCACTGCTGCAGGCACCATGCCAGTCTACCTTGATGAGGGTCTTACTCTCTTTCACTGACCCTCCACCCTTCCAAGCATGATGTCTTTTTCCAAGGAATAAACCTCTCCTAGCAACATGTCCAAAGTATGAGAGACAAAGCTTTCCCATCCTTGCCTCCAGTGGGCAGCATCATGATAGATGGAGAAAGGATTGAAACTGTTAATGATTTAATCTTGTTCAGGCCCACAATCAACACCCTTTGTACCAGCAATCAGGAGATAAAGACATGCTTTGGACATGTCTGATGTCAAGGACCTCTCCAAAATATTGAAGAGCAATGATATCAGCCTGAAGACTAAGGTACACCTTATTAATGCCATGATTTTTCAACTACTTGCTAGTGATCTGAAAGTTGGACAATGGTTTTACAGATAGAATGATGAAAATAAAGAGTTTGTGCCTTGTTCAAGGCAATACGGCAACTGAAGGTCAAGTACTATATAGTTCAGTATCTGTTTTAATGGCCAATCTTTTTATGATACCCAATACTGCTATGGACCAATGTGACAATATATTCTTCTGTGTTCCCCCTTTAAAAGCAGTATTTTCAACTCCTGCATGCACAGTTTTGGCTATATTTAACTAATGATAACCTAATGAAAAGTTGTATTACTCCCCAAATGTCCTGCTCACAAGAACAAGATTGTTACTTGCACATGGTTCCTGAAAATAAAGTCAAAGACTTTTTAATAAAATCAAGTGTAAGAAATTTACCAAATTATTAGAACATAACCTTTTAGCTTGTGGATACTTTGCCCCCAAGCTTATGAAATTAAAGAGAATGTAAAGAAAAGTGAAGTCTGGTGCTCAGAAAAGGAGAAATTTACTGTGAGATAAATGGGATGTTTTATGGGATACTTTGATGTTTTAATTTTATTTGAAAGAGAAACTCCCAAGTTTTAATACTATCCTACATTTTTAAAAAAAGATTTCTAAAGGAACATCATGTTGGGAAAATCAAGCAGTGGACTATCAGACAATGAGAGGAAGATTCTCAACAAAATGAACTGGCACCGTGATTTACAACAATGGGCTGGAGGGTATCAGACATGGTGAGAATGGCACAGGACAGGGATAAGTTCAGACCTGATCACAGGGTTGCAACGAGTCATAGTTGACTCAATGGCATTGAACAACAAGAAAAAGTACTGAAAATTGATTGATGACGGGGTTGAATATTTTTGGGGACACAGAAAAAGAAAACAAAACACTTTGGTGGTCGGTACAATGAGGATGGGCTGCTGAATAGAGGGTCCCCTGAGTCAGAATGAATCAGAAGCAATGGATTAGGTTTAACTGGACTACTTACTATACTTTCAAGGCAAAACGAGGAAATCTTATGTTTACCTGTTTGGAAACTTTTTTTATTAAAAATATCTTTATATTAATGCTATTTTTTTTCAATACAAGTGAGATAATACTCAATAAAGCATCATATACTTGATATAGTGAATTTAGGAATATAACAATCCTTCTAGATTCTGGTCCCCTCCAGAGTCCTCAAGATACTCTAGTAGGAAAATGCAAACACTCTTTTAAAAAATAAAGAGGCCTTTGGGTGGAGGGGGTGGGAGTTGGGGCAAGTGAAGCATTGCTTCCTGACACATCCCTGCTTTTGTTTTTGACTTTGTTAGTAAAACCAGTTCTAAGAAAATGGAGAAAAATCTTTCTATGCTCCTCTAGAGAGGGAGAGAAAAACCTGTCTTGCTGAACAGCTATGCACAAAACCAGAAGCCAGAGGACTGGGAAGGAGGAATTAAAGATCAAAAATAAAGTGCACAGTTACTTTAAAAAATATACTCTTTTGATCCTAAGAAAATTAAGGTAATTTTATCTAATGAACTAGGTTGCTGACCTTTTAATACATTTGGTTTTCATGGAACATACAATCACCATCGGACATAAAAGACTAGTTTGCTTTCTTTTAAAAAAATTGCTTTGAGTTATCTACAGGAATCTTGTGAATGCAATTCAAGGATAACATTCTGCAGCTCTTTGGGTATTGAATGGTTTCCCAGAGTCACAAAGGATGGAGGGAATGGGTAAAAGCTCAGATGTATGTGGACGTTCCACATTCCTTCTTCCCCCCTCTAATCTCTGCTCCCAATTTTCACTCCCTTCCCCTAATGTTAAGCACTTTCCAGGTCCCCATCTTCCACTCCTATAGCATGAGACCGGGAAATCATCAAGAGTTTCTCCTTTTTTGTAAACTGCCTCTGGACTTGCTGAGGTCGCTCGGCTGCGAGTGCCTTTGGACTGCGGTCCTCTGAGGGGCTTTGCTGTGAAGTCAGGGTGGAGGCGGCCAGGCAGTCCTCCTGGCTGTCACTGGCTCCAGCCTCCACCACTGATTCTAAGGAAGTGTCTATCTCTCGAAGAGGGGTGTAGCCCTTATTGCTGCAGGACTGGTTATCCAACTGCGAACTCTGAGAGTCCCGCCTGGCAGGGGGCGAGTCGCCCGGCCCAGGTGGCGGGGACGGGGAGGCAGATTTGGCCAAAGTACCAATGTCCCCGTGCGCGCCAAGCGGGGAGGGCAGGGGCTCACGCGCCGGGAGCCCGCAGCTGCTATGACGCCTCGGAGCCTCGTGCTTGTCGGTCCTGGACAGGCTGCCCTGGGCCCCGGCGGTGAGCGCCGCGTCCTCGGATTCCGCCGGCTCGGCCCGCGCCCAGCACGGGTCCGCACTACCGAGGTCCGCACCACTGCGGTCGAACTTGTCCCGCGGGATCTCCCGGGAGCCGCGCTCCCCTGGCGGCCTCGGCCAGCCGCGCCTCGCACTGTCCTCGGGGTGGTCTGGGTCCCCTACCCCGTCTGGGTCCCCTGTTCCGTCAGGGTCTCCAGGCCCAGGCAACAGTGTGAAGGCGCTCAGTGAAGAGCCCACCAGGGAGCTCGCGGTGCTCGGGCGCCCCCAGCTGCCGGGGGGACTGCCGGGCGCCGGGCTGCTGCTGCCTTGGGCAGAGGTCGCTGCTGTGCAGGTGGCAGCAGCAGTGGCCCGGCGACGTCCGGCCACTCCAGAGCGCTCCTGGTATATGCTGTACACGGCCTCAGCCAGGCTGGGGGGCTCGCGCGGGCAGCGCGGCGACGAGGCTAGGTCTGGCGGGGACGTGGTACCTCCTGCACCCGTGCCCCCACTCCGCGCCGCCAGGTGGGGCCACGCGCCCCGAGCCAGCGCTGCCGCCGCCCCGAAGGCATCCCCGCTGCCGGGCTTCAGCTCTAGGCCGCGCGACTGCACGTAGTTGAGGAAGCCATTGAGTGGCGAGGTCCCTGGGGGCACGGAGGCAGGGGCTGGGGACGAGGAGGAGGCAGAGGCGGCGGCGGCAGCCAGGTCTTTGGCGCGGAGACTGTGCACGTCGATGACAGTGGAGTAGAGGTCGCGCAAGTTGATAATCTTGGTCTTCTTGTCTCGGTTCTCGTGCAGCACAGCGTTTGCGCAGATGAAAAGGAAGATCCCAATGCCCATAATGAGGGGTCCGAAGACCTTGAGCTTGTCCGAGTGCAAGTAGCCAGAGAAGATGCGAAAGAAGAAGCCCACAGATGTAGAGGAGGAGGAGGAAGAAAAGGAGGAGGGGACAGAGGCCTGAGCTGGTGGCGTGCTCCTGGGCGCCACCCCAGAACTGGAGTTGACAACCCCCTGGGTCTCCTCCAGGTGGCTCCTGGACCTGTTGCTGCCGCTGCTGTTCGCCAAGCTGGTGGCGCGATGGCCACTGTCCGAGAGTGGCAGCTGCCTAGCCCCATCTCGACTGGGCCCAATGGGCTTGGGCCAGTAGCCCACTACCGCCATGGCTATGCCCACAAGCAACACCAGGATCCCGCAGAGAGCAATGAGACCGGAGATGGAGCAGAGCTTCAGCTTGCCTTTCACCACCACCACGTCGTTCTTGCGCCTCTTCTTGGCTTTCCGCTTGCGCTTGGGGACCTGGCTGGGGGGGCGGAGGGGGTCCTGCTTTCTGGCAGAAATCCTCAGCAGGCCACCGGTGGCGATCATGGTGAGCTGGAGCTTTGGGCTAGCCCCTGGGGTGAAGGCTTGTGTAAGGGGGGCGCCAGCTGCCCACTAGCTGCTCCTTCACCTCTTCCTGCTGCAAAGCAGAGGAAGACAGTCAGAGGGACATCCCAAGAACTGCAGTGGTCCCACTCCCTGACCCCCTCCCAGATGTGCCCCACCTCCACTAGAGAAGGCAGTGTACAGAGGTGGCAGTGGGATGGGTGGGTTAGAGAAGTAAAGTGTGGTTGCAATAACTGAGTAGCTGAGGAGAGGGGGTGATAAAGCAATTTGAGAGAATGGGTTTTATCTACCTTTCCCCCTCATCCCACTTGTAACATCCAGGAGGTGTTAGTCCAGCTCTTTTAATTTTAAACCCTCCTGGCCAGTTGCCAAGGGAGTTCTCTGGTGATGTGTAAGAACTCAATATGAAGGCTCAAAGTAGTGCCTGAAGACTTTCCTGGCCTTTGTCTGCCTGGAATCTGACACTTCCCTTGTCTGGCTGGAATCTGACACTTCCTTAAGGATGCTGCCACCAGGACTTGGGCAAGAGTGTCAACTCTATGGAATCAGCCACTGAAACAGTCACAAAGGGATTATTTTATAAAGACAAGAGGAATCCACTTCACTGGCTGAAAAGTAAAAATCCTATAGACTGGCAAGCTGATGGTTTATTTATTTCAGATAGAATTCATTGCTGGGAAGGCATCATAAAGCTCTTTCAATTCTCTGATAATAAATCCACTTACAAAGTCTTCTTCCTCCTAGTGCAGTACCTACAGCTGAAGGCAAGCATCTCCTCTCACACCCCTTCCCTCCTCGCCTGTGTTCTGCAACATCTGGACAGCTTCTTGGGTGGAATATTTAGTTTTAGGGAACTGATTATATAACAGCACTCTTCCTTCTAGGCGCATCTTATTCCTCAGAGGGACTCCCTTAAAGGTACCATGCTCTTGATCTCTCTCATCTGGGAACAGGAGAGGTCCCCACGAAGCTTCAAGAGAAAGAGCTTTTTCTCAAGTGGGAATATGACAAACCTTTTCTTTTCTTTTTAAAAAATCACTCTGCCATAGATGCTTTCTGATCCCTTATTAATGTGCCAATTAAAATGTATTCCTTGGGATGCCAGTATTTGAGTAAGCAATTAACTAGGTACAAAGGTCTATATGTTAAATAATGGTTTGTAGAATGACTTTTTTTTTTCCAAGTAAAAGCTGTTTCCATCATTGTCTTATGAAGCCATGTTTTTTTGGAAGGAAGAGTGGCAGAGGTTCATAGACAGGAACTTGAAGTTCATAGGAACTTGAGTTGTTATTAAAAAGCTGGGGAAGTAAATGGAAAGTTGAGTATTCGTGGTTTCTGTCAACTTCTAATTATTTCAATTCTGCTATGTTCTTGGAGTAAAACACCATCAGATCTGTTGGTTGTCTTCCCTTCTATAACACAGGTGCTAAAATTAAGAGCTTTGTATGGACCTGAAAGGCTTGGATAGTGAAAGCCTTTAGATAATTTTTCTTTTATATATTATAATTAATATTTTAGAATAAATGTCCTTTCAGAACTGTGGCTCTATCTTTCTATCCATTCTATCAATATAGGCAGGTACATTCCTCACCAATAGAAAAGCTAATGGTAATTGGCTCTTTTAAGGTACTTGAAAAATCAGTATCTCCTTCGAACTTAGTTGGTTTTCAATAAAGAGGAAACACTAGTTTAAACGCAAAGGTTTAGCAGAAAGAATACATCTTTATGGCTTTTAAATTCTAAGGAACTGCACCAATAAGCAGAAGCAGATTGTAAAAACAAAACACCCCCCAAAACCAGAGTAGCCCAGGCTTTATCCCCCATTACAAAACAGCAGAACCTTTATTATGGAGTTTTAACAGAGAGACCAGTTTTTAATGGCCCCTAGACTGTAGCATTATTGTAGGGCTTCAGGAGGCAGAAATTTACCAATCTAGGGAGCATGAGGGAGAAGGCTGGCGTTGTTGAGCATCACAGGGTGTGCATCAGGATGCTGGGTGTCTGAGAAGAAAACACACACACACACACACACACACACACACACACACACACACGTCTCTACTCAACAGGGCAGTTCTGGCTCCGGGTAGATGTAAGGCAGGATGGAATGGATTCCAGCATCATTTCTCGATGATCTTCAAAATTAATAACGAGTAATTAACTCTCTAGCTTATTATTCCTTCAGCTCTGTTGACTGAAAATCCTTTCTCATGTATCACCATTTGACATGAATACTAACAAAAGGTCAGGTGCCTTGGAAGACCCATCTTTGAAGCTTTTCTTCCTGTCTAAGGAAAGAAAACAAACTTAGCAGTCGAGGTTGGCTGCCCAAACAATTACTGCCTGGGCCGGTCTTTTCTGTGGTTAAGCAATGGAGGATGGGGGAAGCCAAGGAGGGATGTCTAAAAATACAACTGCCTCCAAGAGACAGTCAAGTTCTCAGCCGTGATGAATGGAGCCCGGCTCGGGTTTGAGGCCCCGTTGAGCTCCTGGCCCCCGACTAGGCGCTGAGCCCCTGCCTTACTTGCTCTTCTGTTAGTCTGTGTTGGAGTCACAAGCGCTCAGCAGCTGAAGTGCGCCCCTGGGAAGAGGAGCAGGGGCGCAGCGAGGGTGATCCCAAACTCGCCAGTTCCCGGCCGTGCGGCCCGCGAGCCCGCACCGGCACACGGGTGTCTGCAGCCCCGCGCGAGACAGAGGAGGAGGGCTGCGGGGTGAGCCGGGGCCCGACGACGGACAACTGGCCCAAAATGGCAGCACGACAGCAGACAATATCACTCACTTACCCAGGGGGACCGGGAGAGCTCAGGGTCGGTGAGCTGGCGAACTGGTGACACAAAGGAACCATGGAGAAACTTTTTCAGCCCGAGCCGACGGCGGGGCGCGGGGCCGGCGCCGCGGGGCCGCCGCTCCGACCCGGGCTCAGCCGCGCTCCGAGTGCGAGTGCCCGCTGCAGGCTCGCCGCCTGCTCGGCTCCAGTGGCGGGAGCCATTTCAAGAGTTTCCAAGAAGTGCCAGCTCTCCCAGGCGCGAGCCCCGCGTTCTCTCCGCCGCCGCCCGCGGCACCCAGACTCCACGGCGGCGGCGGCGGCGGCACCCGCTCTTTGTGTGGCTGCGGCGCGCGGGGCTCCAGCAGCGGAGTTGAGCCCCCGGCGGCGGCGGCCGGACTCGCGGCGGTTGCTAAGATACCGGAGCCATGACACAGGGAAATTGCTGCAGGATGGCAGCCGTCCCCGGCCCGCACGGCTTTCAGGGGCGCACCGCCCCCCGCCCCGCCTCCTTGGCCGGTCCTCGGAGAGCCGGTCCCCGAGGGTGAGGCGCGGGGGCGCGCGGGGTGCGCGGGGCGGGGCGGGACGCACGGCCCGGGGCCAGTCCCCGCCTCCGGGACGTGCCCCCTTAGCGCCCCGCGCCCCGCTTTCTCCAACTACCTGTCCGAGCCGCGGCTGAATGAAAGGCCGCCCCGCTGGTCTCCCTTTGCACTCTGGGCGGAGGCGCCGGTGAGCCGAGGGGACTCCCCGTCGCCGCCTGCCCCCGCCCCCTCTGTCTCGTGCTTGGTGGCCTTTACCCCTCCGCGAGGTTCAGTTTCTTTTTCTCCTTCCACCCTCTACTTGGGAGTTGACGACATGGACGCCCCAGGACCAGTAGGTTGTCCCCAGCAAACTGAGCTCTAGCTCCAAGGCGCTGTCCCTTCTGTGCTGGCCAGGTCGTCCTCCTCGCGGGGAGCCTGCACTGGGTGCATGGGCGGTTTCAGCGAAGCCAGAGCTGCGACGGGCAGCGTGAGCGGCTGCTTTCCTGGGAGAACCAAATCGGCCCCTAGGATCTCTCTGGGGCCCCGCCGGCCAAATCCAGTGTAGTAACCACCAACCTCTTAGAGGAATCAGGAATCAGGGTTAGAAACAAAGAGGGCAGGTGGGGGTAGGGAGGATGGCCAAACTCCTACGTCATATTAAAAGGAGAGACAGGGATCCCTTCTCCCAGCCCCATCCATGCCCTCTCAACTGTAAAGTAAAAATGACAGGGCAAAGAGACTCCAAAGTGGAATTTCCCCCTGGAATACTGAGAAAGTAAGAAAGCTTTCAATTACTGTGGAAGCGAGGCAGACAGGATTTAGGAAGAAATATTAGAACTAGCAAGTGCTGTTAGGTTTAGGGGTTCCAAACAAATGTTTTAGGGGGTAGTAAGGTGGGAAGCTGTAGAGGTTGACTTTTGCCTCCCATGGGGGGAGAGGCTCTTTGCTGATAGAAGCAGTTGCAGAATTGTTCTTCAATGTGCAAAGCTTGTGCTCAAACCTAGAATATGGGTATGCACTTTTCAAAAAGAACAATAAAGATAGAAAATTTACTGATGACATCCTGGAAAGCTGAACAGGAGCGCCCCTCTTTTGCACCCCGGCCTTTGCCACCTTTCCAAATAGTACAGAACCCACTTCCACCCACCTCTCTACGCACCTGGTTTAGAATGCTAAAAAGCAAATAATCATAGATACAAAGCCCATGATAGAATTGTTTCCTTTTAGAAATTATCTGCAAAGAAGAGATAACTGTTAATTTCTAACTTTTTTTGCTCTGAATTTCCAGATTACTCAAGTCATAATAAGCAGTGTGTGCTTCCTGCATACATTGACTCCTAGTCTCATTTCACTCATTGCACATCTGGCTGCCAGGGGCCATGGGTGGCAGTTCTGATGCTTGGCAGCTCTCTGCTTGCTGAGCTGCATAAATCGAAATAATATTACCCAACTTCATTAGGATGTGAGATAGAGTAAGCCTTTAATAGTTTCAAATTTCTGCATAAATTACAACCATCATTTGCACATTTGAAGCTCATTTGAGGGATTTGGGGGTGGGAGGAAGTAATTTTCTAGACAATAGGGTCTTGGGACACAGATAACTTTTCCTTTTGGTGATGATAGCAACAAAATTCATGGTTTATTTTATTAAAAGGCCTCCTTCCAAACTAAGCTCTTTGGAACTTTGAATGACTCTG